TAATTTTTTACTATTACAAACAAGTCAATGAAAATGCTTTCTGCACAAATGTCAATATCCTATAGAAGGGATTCCTAGACCTGAAACACCAGTCAAAGGCATGACAGCTGCTGCCTGACTGCTGTCCATAAAGAACACACCAGCTTTGCAGGGTATCCCTACAAAGTGTGAGAATGCCTGACCTTCACACCCTTCCCAATCCTGGATTCTTATCTAACTTTTGTAATATGTGGACATTTGGATGAAAAAAAGGATATTCCTTCTCAACTTGCCTTTCCCTGAATGCCAGAGAAATTTAGCATCTTCTCAGGTGTTTTTAGTTATTTGTACTGATTTTTCTGTGAATTGCCTGTGTGTTTTTTTAATCATTTTTCCTACTGTCTTATTCAAATTTTTCAGAAGTGCTATATATCATGGCTAATTACCAATAGTCAATTCTTTATATTAAAATATTTTCTCCTAGTCCAGTGCTTGTGATTTTACTTTGCTTATGATATTTTCTTACTGTAGAGACACTTACATTTTCTATGTAGTCAAATCAATAATTTATGCTTTCTGGGTTTTTTTTTTCCTTGCCTGGCTCCAAATTACAAAATAATGTTTCTATATTTTATTTCAATACTTTCAAAGTTTTGTTTTTTATAATAACACTCTTATTCCATCTGGATGTCCTGTGTCCCAGTTCCACTCTTTGTGTTTGTTTACTGAATTGGAGTTGCTCCGGGTTTCCGTTGGGAAGAATGACTCATGGCTGTAGTGCCTTCCCCAAGTGTATTTTAGCTTAAGGTATCTTTTGTTCTGGTTTCTGGAAATAGGATCCATCTGCTTACTAACCTCTAGTCAGCCCTCACTGGTAGCCTCTTTCTTATTTCTAGCACTCTCGTGTTTTTATTTGCATTTTTATATCTTCTTTTTCATGTCAATGGAATTTTGGAAGAAAATTGGCTATAAATGCATATGCTCAGTCTGCCATCTGGAATGGAAGCATTTGTGTATATATGTCCTCAGAAATATTTTTACTATAAAATACAAATATGTACATAATGGAAAACTTGGAAGATATAAAAGAAGCACAAAGAAAAAATTAAAATCAACCACAATTCGACTACTCAATAATAAAAAATGTTAAGATGTTGGTGAATTCACTTCCAGTGTTTTTAATGCATGTAAATAAAATTTTCATAGAAAACAGTAATAGGATCACAGCATATATTTAGTCTTGTACTATGTTTTTAAAATTCATTATGTGAAGAACATTTTCCATATCCTTGAAAAACATGATTTTATAAAAATGTTTATAGAGTACTCCATCTGCACATACTTCTTAGAAATTAATGGATCCATTTATTATTATTAATATACTTATTTCCTGAAAAGGTAACATATTCACATGATTCAATGGAGTCAAAAGTCTCTTTCCCACCTGTGACTCCTAGTGACCAGTTTCCCTCCTGAAGGCCACAGATAATGCCTGATTATTTGGTAAAGATAAAGTTGGAATTAGGTCAGAGGATATATACTTTCTAGCTCCTGATACATATTTGTTTTCCAGAAATGTATAATTTACACTATCCCCACATGAAGGCATTCTCTTTTTTAAAAAAAATACCAGTCCATTGGCAGGCAAAAAATGTTTTAATGCATTTCTTTGGCTCAAAGGTCAAAGAAATCTCGAATAAGCTTAGATCACCTTTTCATATGTTTATTGACTCATTGCGCATCTTCTATCAGAGATTGTCCATTCTTATCTTTTGCTGAAAAGGACCCTTTAGAAATCCTTTCTGGGCGCTCAGGACTATGGTCACTTCTCTGAGTTCCCCCCAGCATTGACTCGGGGCCTCTGGCTCCTTCCGCTGTGTCATCAGAGCAGTCCCTAAGACTTACTCTCACATTTGGTTATTGATGAGATTTCTAAAAACTCTGGAGATTTCTTTCTTGAGGTCCACCCAGGACTTCTGACCAAAAAGAAGAGTGACAGCCCAGGATTGCTCAGAGAAGCCATGAAGATGATGGAAGGCTGGTGTTTTCCAATGTCCACCCGTCTGAACCCTTGCAGGCAGGCTGCAAGACCTGAGGCCCATCACCCAACTCTTCTGTGCCTCAGTCCACTCTCACCTCCAGGTGCTGCTCACCCCCACACCTGGGCCCATGCTTTCTCCTTATGGAGGCTGGTTGGGTGCCCCTCTTCTGACTCGGGAAGCACCTGGGGTGCATGTCTCCCGTCCGCACAGTACAGTTCCTGAGTGTGTCTGCCCTCCCCCTTAGACGCTCTGCGACTCCCCGGAGCCCTACGCAGCGGTGCCCCTAGGTGATGACGGCTGACCTGAAACCAACGCGCACACACGGGCCCCCACGCCCATTTCCGCGGGCCTCGCACAGCTCTCCGCCGCTGCCTACAAAACACAAGACACCTCTTAGGCACTGAAAAGACAGTCAACGCTCTCCCCTGCACCTACTTTTCCAGACTTACGTGACCTGCGTGTTTCTTCTCTCACCCAAATAAGGAACAAATGTGCAATTCCTGTGCCCCCAGATCTGTCCCAGATGTAGGCTGGCTCAGGCTGCTTTCCCGGAGCCTCGACACTTGTTCCTGTCCTACCCGGCTCTGGGATGAATTCCGCACCCAATCCTGTCTCGATTCCCCGTTTTTCTTTCAACAACCCACAATTTATTGTCATTTTGGCTCCTCATTCCACCCATCAGACTCCACCCTCCATTAAGCATCTCAGTGGTGACATGTTGATATTAGATCTTTCACTAATTTTATTCATGAATAAATTTTTTTTTTCTTGACAGATATATCGTTGCTGTGTCTTCTGGATCTTTGTACACAGAGAGGATGTTTCACACATACTGGTCGGGGAAGAGCGCCCTGTTGACTTTTAAGCTCTTTATTTCTCAACTTCATCTTTCTAAACAAACTTCTCTCCCACGCCCTCTTCCCCCAGGGCGCCTGCCAGCGCCGCACCCAGCCGCACCCACTCCCGACCGGCACCCGGCCCGCCTCTCCGCGGCTCCCAAGCCCACGCCCACATTCCTTACCTTCCCGGACAGAGAAGCTGTTGATTTTGGATCCCAAGTGGAGGAATCGGATGCAGCTGGAGCACGCCTCACCTGTACTCTGCAATGCAGGCTCTGGAGGCACGACCCGGGCCCTTCCCTCCTGGACCCCTGCAACTGTTGCTCTCGTTCTCTGACACTAGGGTTCCCAACCTCGGGGCTCTGCCTTGCAAACACCTGGGGAACGTTTTAATGCTGATAATGGGACCCTCCCAACCCAGAAATTCTGATTTAATAATCCACGGTGCAGCCTGGGCACTGGAAATTTTAAACCTGTGAGAAATCCTGGCGCGCACGTCCAATCTCCACCATGGCATTTTGGGCTTCTTTAATCTTCCTGCCGGGGACAGGAAGAAAAGAGCGCGGGCCCACCCCCGGTGCAGGGGCGGCCGCGGCTGTCCCGCCCCCGGACTCGGGCTCCAGCCGCGCCCGGAATAAATACCTGAACCTCAACTAGCTGCGAGCCAGGGACGCGAGTGCCCGGGGCGGACGAGGCCAGCTTCTCGCGGGCAGTCACATTGTTTCCGAGGTGAGTTGCCGAGGTCGCGGGCCCCGAGGGCGGCTCCGGGAGGAGGTCGCGCCTGCGCCCCGCGCCCCAGCCAGGGTCGGGCGAGGACGCCCCGCGGGCTGGTTTAACGCGGGGACGCTCGCTAGGGGCGCCGGCCGGCGAGCCCGAGAGAGCAGCACGCCTCCCGGGAGCACACGGCCGCCGCGTCCCCGAGGCCCAGGCTCCCGTGGCGTCGGCAGACCCCTACCCCACGAGGGGTGAGCTGCCAGCCCTTCTCTCCGCCCGGGGCGGAGGGCGGGATGCCTCCCGGCGCCTCTTCTTCTGTCCATTCGGCTCCTGGTCCCTGCTCTGCGGCTCAGCGCGCCCACTGCGCCGACCCCACCGCCCCCAATTCACCCCGTTCCTCCCAAGCTGTGGGTGTCAGCCTGTCTGCCCACCCGCCCCTCCCTACCCACTGCGGCCCGTGCCTTTACCTGGGCAGACTTGCTGCAGCGCCCGGGCCTGGGAAGCAGCGGGCGCCTGTTCACGCTGCGCGCGAGCTAGCTCGGCTTTCGGACTCGGTGGGCCGTGGGACGGAGACACCAAAGAAGCCCTCGGCCGCGTGAAATTTAACACACCCCGTAATTTTCTGAGAGTCTTTACAATAATATGGAACCATACATTCACTTTTGCTTGTAAGTTTACTTGCTCTAACCATATTTCATTGGAATAGCCGGGGATCACTAATGCTTGTGCTAGCAGCAACACCTGCCATCACACGGCAGAGTAGTGAGCGACGTCGAGCAGGTGGCGGGGTCTTCAGAGCCCGGGGAAGGGATTTCTGGAGCTGACGGCCAATCGGACCGGAAAGGTTTAGAATATCTAGTCACTTCACTCCAATTACTTCATACAAATAGGATTTTATATTTCCCTCTCCAATCTCAGATTTTAAATAGTAATGCAAAAAATTAAAGAACAACGGTGCGAATGTGAAAGCACAAACCCAAAAGGAAAGAAAAATGAAGCCGGAGATGTAGCAGTTAGGTCATAAACATGATATGGTCAAGACTTTGAACATAAAGTCAGCCAGCAGGACTCGTGACTATTATGGAGAAAGGCTAACTGTGAGGAAATAGTGAACTTATCTTTTGGGTTGAATTTGGGCGAGGTGGTTACAGTTCCTGATGAACAAACATTTCTGTTGTATGCAGCACATGCAGGCATGCAGGTATGTGCCAAGCTTCGGGCGAGGCAAGAAAGTTGGGCAAAGATACAGTCCCTGTGGGTTCCTCCCTCTTTCCGAGTTCAGAGTCTGCTACCAGGAGAGCAGTTCAAAGCACACGTCTCAGCTACTTTCACTATTTCATAAAGTAAGAGCTCCAAAGACTAAGAAAACTCAGCGGAAATGCACCACGATGTCTTCACACGAGTCTGTCTTTCTTTATAGGTGTCAGCCAGAACATGTCTTCCGGCTGGCGGTCAGCAAAGAAATTGCTCGTTTTCTTAACAAAGTTGCTGCTTACTGTGCTGGAAGCTGTGGTTTTTACTCTACTCCCAAAGCCACGGAAGAGTGTTGCTGGTGAAGTAGTGCTGATCACAGGCGCGGGGAGTGGCCTCGGGAGGCTCTTAGCCTTGCGGTTTGCCCGCCTGGGATCTGTGCTTGTCCTCTGGGATGTCAATAAGGAAGGGAACGAGGAGACCAGCAAGATGGCTCGGGAAGCTGGAGCCACAAGAGTGCACGCCTATACCTGTGACTGCGGTCAAAGGGAAGAAGTATATAGAGTGGCCGATCAGGTAACTCGTGGGTGCTTACTGTTATACTTTGACATACGTCAATTAATTTCTTTGTTCACTGCCTTTCTCAGTGCCTATTAGCCTACCTACAATGTCCCTTTAATTTAAAAAATATTGTGGGGGAGTAGGAATTAGGATTTTTGAGGTCTTACTATACTCAAGACACAGTGCTAAGTATCCCACATGTATTAAAACCCTATAAAGTAAAGCCCATTATTATTACCATTTCACAAATAAGCAAACCGAGGCTTAGGGCAGGCACGTAGCTTACTTAAGAAACACAGCCAGTAAGGAGCAAAGCTACAGCTGGCACTTGAGTCTGTTGACGCCTGAGTACCTTCTCCTAACCACTAACTACACTGACTGTACTGGCCCCTATTACAGCATAAGTCTAGGGTAGGTGGAGGCAGCCTTCTTTGAGGATAAAAGAAATCGAGATACAGAGATATTAAATAACCTGCCCAGTGTCACAGAGCTAGGGCATGACTGAGCCAGGATTTGAATTCGTATTTAGGCTGATTTTAAATCTAGGCTATATCCAGCTCACCACAATGCCTCACATTTGAGTGTGTATTTCTCATAAGTGGTCATAAGAAAATCAGAATCTTTCATTCATCCTATAGACTCTTAACCACATTGGCTTCTTTGGTGATTGTACAGATGCTCATATAAAGAACGCTCCAGGAAAGCAAAGCTTCAGTATGCCCACTGCAAGGATTTTCTTAGTTTGTAGAGGCACATACATGTCTCTCATAAGGATTTCTGTGCCCTCACCTTGGCCTGCATACTTTACACATCACTCTCCTGACACTTTGTCTGTGGTTCCCAGAGTTTAGTGAGAAGGAAGAATCAGACGAGCCTGCCATGAGCAGCCGGACTAGGTTGTAAAGTTCTTCCACAGTTTCCAGGTTCAACTGGTATCCCCCCACTAAGGTTGTAGGTCACTGGCTGGTGAGTTTTTGACTCTGAATCACAGACTGCTCAGTACAGCCTGGAGATCCAGACCTGACAAGCTCACACAGTCTTTCCCTGGGACCACCCTTCCAAGTGCAGCCGACCTGCAGTCTTTGCTACCGCCTGCCTTGCACAGTCAGCTGTTTATATGTTGAACACCAATCACGTGGCATGGTGACTTACACTGACTATGAACAACTTGTCTGGCCGGTCTTAAGCAATAACTGGTTCATATTCAAATACTACAGATCATCACGTATAGGGCAAACTTGTAGGAAGCTCTGTAAATAATTGCTTCCCTCTTCCCTGGACCTGAGATTTACTTCTGAGCCAGGTGCTTGGCTTCAGAAATGGTCAAACATGTCATATTACTAACTTATTTTTGAACTTTTATCTCTTTGGGGTCTTTGAGAGAATTATTTATGTGCTCTTCTAAATTCAGGGGAAGCAAATAATTCTCCATGCTTATAAACCACCCATTTCCACTTTTTATTCTGAATAGAAGGAAAGAACCAGAGAATTTTTAAGAAGTATCCGTTAGACAAGTAATAAAGGAGAAAATTTTCAGAGTGGTATGACAGTGTTTCCTCTCCGCCAGGTGCCCGTAACTTTGAAAGCTTGTGTCCTTCCATCATAGCTAAGCCCCAAGTTCAAAAAAAGTTTATCCTCAGAGTGAAGAAAACCAGCCAGTTAATGAAAACAGGCAGATTCTAATCTGCACTACGTGTTTAAAATACATACAGTCATGCACTGCATAATGGCATTTTGATCAACAGACAGACCACGTATACTGTGGTGGTCCCATAAGATTATTACAGTATCTTTACTGTACCTTTTCTATGTTAGATATATTTAGATACACAAATACTTACCAATCTGTTACAATTGCCTACAGTATTTAGTAGAGTAATGGCACTGTACAGGTTTATATAGGACGGCCATACCACGTAGCCAGTGTGTGTAATAGACTATGCCATCTTGGTTTGTATAAGTGCATTCTGTGATGTTCACGTGACAATGAGATCACCTAATGATACGTTTCTCAAAAGGTATCCCCATCATTAGAAGATACATGACTGTATTTTCTTTCTTGCTCTGTTTGTTGCCTGCTCCACCTGCATCTCCATGTCTGCTAGGTCTAGATCTGTATGACATTTGGCCGTAATGAAGCCATTGCTATGTCCCTTCGCATTGATTAAAATGATATGCCACTTACACAGAGCATAGGACAAAGTCAGTAATCACTGAGTCTAGGAACATTTCCAATCGTAGAAGGAAAATAGCATTTCAACAGTGGAGCCATCTTAATAAGAGAGGAAGCAATGAGAAGAAAAGCATAAGAATTGGATCTCTAGTGCACTGTAGCTCGGCAAAGGAAATAAATTTTGTTTTTAGGGTGCATAAATTCAGTCTGAGTTAACAAAGATAAAAAATATATAAAACTGTGGGAAAAATAAAACCTAGATCATATAAGGAATTACTCCATTGGTGGTGGTGTTCTTGTTATTCAATTCAGGTTAAGAAAGAAGTTGGCGATGTTTCCATCCTAATCAACAATGCTGGAATTGTAACAGGCAAAAAGTTCCTCGACTGCCCAGATGAGCTTATGGAAAAGTCATTTGATGTGAATTTCAAAGCACATTTATGGGTAATTATTGTTTCTTCTCATAATAAACGTAAAGTTATTCTGGCATTTAGAAGTACTTTCCTCCAGCTCTTCTACAAATTTATTAGCCTCTAAATAAAGCACAGAGTTCTCAATTTTGGACTTGTCCTGGTCTAGCCAGTTGTCCTCTCCTGGTCCCACTTAATTGACAGCCCTCATAACCTCTGCTCAGCGAATCCTACAAAGACAGAACTGTTGTCATGGTCATACTACCATTTATTAATTGCTATCAAATGTTGGGGTTTTCCCAGGCAGCTCACATATATTCCTTAAAACAGCTCAGTGAGTAAGGAGTCAGAATTTAAAAGATTTGCTCCAGGCTATATGGTGAATGACTGCACTTAAACATGACCAGGGTAACTGTATAATTTGCCTAAGCTGGGACATTTTGAAAGGGAGCATCATTAATTAACAAGCGTTAATCAGATCTGTTCTGGGCAAACCAAGACCTATGGTCACCGTAATCAGTACCCAACCCGAGAAAGGAGAGGTTCTACCAGCAACCCCAGTGACCACATGCCACCAGTGCCAAGGGCACAACCCTGACTTGCAAAGTGATGCACCCAATTCCAGAAGTTGCATTTTCCTGGGTTTTGCTGAGACCAGCCATCTCAGGCCTCCCCTGCCATGCATGTACATCTTGCTGCCTCTCCTAGCTTTTGACCCTTTTGGTTCCAGCTCTGCTCACACTTTGCATTCGCTGGACAAGGCTCTCTCCTTCTGGGAGTATTTGCTGGAGACTTGTGAGCACCTCCCTGCATTCTCCCTACACTTTCCCACCCAGCTCTTCTTCAGCAGCCTTCAAGTGTAATTTGGAGCTTATAGATTTTCTGTCCCCCACTTCCACCGAAAATGTAATGGTGCTGGTGGTATTCTTAGTGTTTTGTATGGTACTCAGGAGAAAAACAGAGATTGAGAACTTAATGGCCACCATGTTCCTAAAGGAACCACTGTAAATGATTTCCCTTGTCCCAAATGTCCCCCTCTTTTGTGTTCATACTCAATAAATAGTTAGAAGGAAGAAGACCATAATCCCCATGGAAGTTTCCACTCCCTGGCTGTGTGTTCTTTTCCTACCTCCCTGTTTTCCCCCAGTTGCCTTCATGGTCTCCTCTGCCTCCCTTTCTGTCTCTCTGCCTCCAGCTGTTCCTTAAATGCTGGTGTTTCCCAGGTCCCTACCACCCCCTCATATCCTCTCACTCTGTTCACTGCATCTGGCCAAGTTCACATACATTCTTTGAGCACCTGCACATTGCCAGGCACCGAGGTAGTGACTTAATTGCTAGAAGGTCCAAGAGCTGGCAGACCCTGGACACAGGGTGCTTTTTATTATGCTGCACTGTTTCCTTTGCTGTGCTTGTTTTGATTTTCCTTCTCTCTCTCCACCTGTTAATGTCTCTCTGAGACTTACTGCAGTGCAGGCAAGCACAGGATGTTTGGCCTTTGTAGGAGATCCCTTTTCTTGCCTCCTGGTTGTCTTCAGATGTGATTAATTACAACTTTGTTGCTGGAGACATTTACTCCAAAAGCTTATTTCTCTCTTTTACCGTGTTTCTCCAGGTCCCACTCAGAGGTAAAGGTGTTCTACGGTACTCAGACATACCTTATTTAAAACAGATACTCCGTTTTATGAAATAGAATAAAAATAAGAAACTGTTATTCGACCAGGCACAGTGGCTCACACCTGTAATCCTAGCATTTTGGGAAGCCACGGCAGGAGGATTGCTTGAGGCCAGAAGTTCGAGACCAGCCTGAGCAAGCAAGAGCAAAACCCCATCTCTATGAAAAATAGAAAAATTAGCTGGGCATGGTTTTCATGCCTATAGTCCCTGCTACCAGGGAGGCTGAGGCAGCAGAATCGCTTGAGCCTAGGAGTTTGAGGTTGCTGTGAGCTATGATGATGCCTCTGCACTTTAGTGTGGGCTACCAACAAGAACCTATCTCAAAAAAAAAAAAAAAAAAAATCCAAAAAAGTAGAGATGAGTTTAAAGCAAAGTGCTCTCGTTAAATTGAAGCCAACAACAGATTGTCCTATGAACAGTGTTCAAGGAAATTTGGAATTCAAAATTAAGCCAAGGGGAAAAAAGGCATTATAAATCTAAACAATCATATCTTTGAGTACTCGTATCAGTTTTTGGATTGTGGCTGCCTTAATTAATATTGTCTTGTACTACTTTAATTCTTAATATTGTGTTGTTAAAAGTCAAATGTGAGTGAAAATATAAGTCTGAATGAATTATTTTTGATAATATTAGAATTGCCATAGGGAAATACTTATTTAGCAGGTTAAAATGGTTACTTTCCAGATGTTTTAAGTGTTTATATCCCGGTGCCTTCAGGTATTTTTATGAGCTGAGAAAAAGATTTTTTAATCACAGTTATCCTACAAACATCTAAGAAAAGTATACAGTGTGGTATTAAATATTAAAAGTTTTCCTTTGCTCTTCTTAGACTTATAAAGCCTTTCTCCCTGCTATGATTGCTAATGACCATGGACATTTAGTTTGCATTTCAAGTTCAGCTGGATTAATTGGAGTAAATGGGCTGGCAGGTAAGAGAAAGGTAGTACATTACAATTGCAAAATTCCTTATAACCTTAACTTACATAATAGCTCTTAACAATAAGCATTGACTTGATACAGTAATAATAAAGGATAATAAGCTAAGAAGTATAGTCAATAAGATAAGACTATATTGAGAATTACATTGTGCAGCAAAACTGCCCATCAGATACACTTACCTGAAGTTGGGTGATGTCCTTTGGAATCCTTAGGTCTTATGTAATGCCCTGAGTTTAAAAGAGAAAAAGAGAGGCCTCACTAATATATTTTCTTGCATAAGAGATCAACACAAGAACTGTCCCCCAAGCTTCACCTGGCACTGCTACCAGGATATTAGGGAGAACCACCCTGCCTTCTCCTGAAGTTTCCATGAAAAGGTCTCTGTTGTGAGTTTGGAGAAAGTATCTTTACCGCAAGAAACCTAAAATTAACCTCCTCACTTTTCCAATGGTTGAAGACTTGCAGAAAGTGGTGGTCATTTTCATCTCCCTTGCAAACAGCCAGCTGACTTAATGGCGGTGGTGAGGGGCAAGGAAATCCACCAAGATCCTCAGCCAAGGAGACCCAGCCTGGCAGCTGCCTCTAGGAGGAGCAGAAACCTTGACCTTACCTACCAGGGCTTCCCCTAGAACAAATGTCCTGCATCCTGGCTTACACAGATTGCAGCAACTCATTCAACACACTGTAGCAGCAACACTCAGATAGCAGATGGTTAGCAAATGGGACAGTTTGCCAACTGGACGCTTCCTAATGCTTTTGAGCTAAGTGGCTTAGTTCGAGATTCACAAAACTAGTCTTAGCTCAGTATGTCTGTTACATGAATAGGTTTTTCACAGCCACCAGTTACCCAAAATATCACCAGTCTATCCCCCTTGGATCCTGGACTTCCCTTCCTCTCTCTGTCTTAGAATTTATCAGGTGTTATTATTGCCCCTCTCTTATATGTCTGACAATTCATAGAACTTTGAAATCATACAAGCATCTCTACAGCTACCATCAATCCTTTTTCAGACTCAACATTTCTATCTTCAGATACAAGAGTCTCCCGCCCCCGGCTTACCTTAGAAACAAGCGTAAGCCTTTTGTTTTCCCACCAGTCTGGGCCTTGGCTCCCATGCATCAGAGGCACCGGGGCGCTAGTTTACAATGCAGATTCCCTGGGTCTTGGGCCACATCTGTTCATCAGGCTCTCAGGGGCGGAGGGGCTCAGGGACCTGCATTTCTACCAGGTGACTTCAGTGATCCTGGAAGCTGTTCTGGTTCCTCCTCTCCCCTTCCCTGCCTCTAGCCTCTGCCCCACCGTCTGGGCAGCACTGGGGCTGGACAGCCCCCTGCCTGGCACGTGTAACCTGGATCTTGCCAGTTGTAGTATTAATAACTGCACCACAGCATAACAAGTGAGCACGCCTCTTCTGACCGTGTGAGGCCAAGGAAGGCACTAATCCACCTAAACGCCATTCCTTCTCCTTTTCACTCAGTGAATTCTACACTCAGGTGTGTTTTTGAAACAAGTGTGATTAAATACAGCTCAAAGCGAACATAAATGCCACTTTACAGTTCCCCCTTCCCTGCATTTTCAAGGTATTTAAGAGGCGGAGGTTGAAGCTACCAAGTCCTTTGTTTGTTTTCTGGAAGTGGAAGAAAGTTACAGCTGGAAGAAAACTTAATCAAGAATCGTGACCCATGCTAACCTCTCTTGCCTAGATTCCTACATTGCTTAGTGTTTTATTTCCTCTCTTGTATGTCTTTTGAGACAGGGGCTACACACACATCTTGTGCCCCATGTGTTAATAACAGCTAGCGCTGGGGCTGCCAATTCATTGACTTAGTAAGTGAAGTCTAGCAGTGTGGCCTGTAGGAGCATCTCTGCAGCCCTTCTTATCCTGGGGGCCACCTGGTCCTTACCAGATGAACGGCGGTTGGCCGTATCCCTTCACACTCACTGCTCACGCCTTCCTGTGGGAGTAGACCAAGATTGTACAAAGGGAGAACTCACATGGTTGTCACATTCTCTGTTGCTGTTAGTGTTATGAGTGAACCTTAATGGAATGCCATTTTAAAACTTGAGAATATACATTATCGGTGTTTGTCTTTTTCAGATTATTGTGCAAGTAAATTTGCAGCCCTTGGATTTGCTGAATCTGTATTTATAGAAACATTTTCTCAAAAACGAAAGGGGATCAAAACCACAATTGTGTGCCCATTTTTTATAAAAACTGGAATGTTTGAAGGTTGTACTACTGCGTAAGTAGGTCCTTTGATCGCAAAGAAAATACATTCTGAAAAATGATTGGCTGTCTATTTGACTTTGTTTTATCTGTTTTCTAAAGTTATCTGAAAGATAGTTTTCTAGGGTCAGCGTGATTTATAAATAGCTTCAGAATTCTTTCTTTGTATGTAAGTTGATTGAGGGTGGTTTATCAGGGCAGTGTCCGCCTGGTACCACCAGGCCCCAGGTCTGCTCTCCATCTCCTGAATCCTCCTGGCCACGTCCCTCTCCTGCCACCCAGTCCCCTTCTACCTTCTCTGATTCCAGGAGGACTGGAAATCATTGAAGGAGCACTGTCTTAGTCATATCAAAGGGGCTGCTGTAACAGAATACCATACAGAAACTTCTCACAGTTCTGGAGGCTGGAAGCCCAAGATCAAAGCGCCCACAGGCTCTTCTCATAAGGGCACTAATCCCATTCGTGAGGGCTCCACCCTCGTGACGTAGTTGCCTCCCAAAGGCCACATCTCTAAATACCAACGTATTGGGAATTTGGGCTTCAACATGTGAATTTTGGCAGGGGAGGCAAACAGTCTGTAGCAGGCACAAATGCCGAATTCTGCATCTCAGGGAGATGGCAGGCAGTGTCGCCAACAGCTCGCTTTACAAACATTTAGAACGTCTGTTTAACGTGGTTTCACATGTATGTGTATTGTAACATCCATGTATTGATTAGAATCATTTTCCATTTCAAATTCTAGTTATATTATTACTCTCTGCATTGATAATAAGGGAGTAAATATAAAAACAGATGAAATCCGGAAGGGAAAGAAATAAGCGATAATGTCTTAACAACCGTATTCCCAAATTTTAAAAATTATTTTTATTAATTAATTTTGGTTTTGTTTCTGTGTTTCTAACACCCTAGCTGTCCTTCTCTGTTGCCAATTCTTGACCCAGAATACGCAGTCGGAAAAATCGTAGACGCTGTTCTGCAAGAAAAACTGTACTTGTACATGCCCCGGTTTCTGTACTTCATGGTGTTCTTAAGAAGGTAACAATATCAGCTTCTATCATTTCCTTGATGCGCCAATCAACAGTTTATTCCACATCCCAGCGGGAGAAGCCACTTTAAAAATAACTGTTAAATTAATGAATTTTAAAAAGGAAAATCTCCTAAGCCCTATTGTGTGCATTGCTGACACAATCCCCATGAGTCAAGAAAATGGAGCTGGACCCTTCCTGCCCCCCTAGTATAGTATTGGAGTCAAAAAGAAGTGCATTTACTGAATGATATGGAAAGATCAAAACGCCTCCTTAGGAGAGATTTCCTGTGCTCATCAATAATCACGTTGGGATAGATCCCGCGTCAGCGCTTCCTCAAGTACCGGGCCCAGGTCAAGGCCTGAAATGCTTCAGAAGTGTGTGGTGTGGGCACAGATGGAAAGAGATGATACATTTGAGCTGTGGGACGGTTAAAGAACATGAGGGGGAAAAACTTAAAGGAAAAACAGCTCTTAAAAGCACAGGCAAGTATTGTCGCCCACCTCCCCTGCCCCTCATTGGGTCTCAGTGCCAAGCAGCAGCTGCGGTTTCTGAACGCTTGACCCTGTGGTGCCGAGCTGCTGATGCCTACGATCTCGTTGGTTCTCTAGCCTGGAACGGGTCATCTCATGCTACTTCCCCCTAGCGGTTGCTGCTCTGCAAGGAGGCACCTTCCATATTGGACCACTCCTCCTGTTGAGTTGAAATCTGTCTGGTTTTAACTTTCTCTTGTTGCTTCTAGCTTTGCCCTCCAGCTCTGCGTGTAATTCCTTTCCTCTTGCCAATGACAATTCTTCAGTTATTTGAACATAGATATTATACCTCATGTCCACCACAGGGCGGGCTAGCAGCCATTGCCCGTCCTGCATACAAAAATTTCTTTCCCCATTAGCTAATTATATCTACTTTATACAGTGAACCGAAAGTCATTCTTGCACCCTGTCACTTTAACAGGCTTCATCTAGCGCAGAAGGGGTCAGTGTGGCTGACAGAGGCTCCTTGGGGCAGGGAAAAGGGTTTTCAACAAGCAATTTGAAATCTGGGTTTATGATCCCACTACTCACTGAGTCTGTAACTCTGAGCATGCCCTTCATTCTTTGGGCCTCAGTTTATTCATTTAGGATGTAGAGACAATGTTGTCACAGCTTGTAGATTAGTGCAATGCACCGTTAGTGGACAGGTGTGGATTCACAGCACCGTGAGTACTTCTTGCCTAATAGCAGATTGTAGTAGAGTAATGCCAACGGTGAGAACATGGCACTTAATCTGTCTACTTTGAATAGCTGTGGAGATTATATTTATTTTATGACATATTAGTTCTGGGCCACATTTTGAGAGAGGGCAAGGTAGTCCCTGAGAAGGCTAAAGGAAACGTGAAGAGGCTCATTGACGGGGATCACATCAGTCAAACACTCCTTCAAACATTCATTCAACAAACATTTAGAGAGTGTGTCATAGCATTGCCCACCGTCCTAGGATCTGGGGTTACAGCAAAAAACAAGACAGACAACAGTCCCTGCCCTTGTGGAAATTATCATCTTGGGGGGTGGGTGGCAGGGAGGAAACAAAAAAGTAAAGTAAAACATAAGATCGTAAGTGCTCCAAAGAAATATAAAGCAAAAAAAGGGAGTGGTGGGTAGAGGGCTGCAAGCTGAGATTTAATTTTAAGTATGGTGTTTGGGGGAGGGGGGTGTCTCACCAAGAAGGTAACACTTGACCAGTGCCCTGAAGTTGGGAAGGGCATGAACCACCTGGAGATCCTGGGGTGCAAAACAGGGACAGTGAGCACAGGGTCCTTTTCCTTACCCCACCCTCAGAACAAGTCCCCCCTTTCCTGTGCCTGCTCACTCCTTGCTCTGCAGTGTTGAATTTCAAGGTCGGTGGGTCAGAGCGCCCCGTCGGGATGGTGATCTTGTGCTTATATGGCTTGCAGAGGGGCAGCTCAGGATGGAGAAGCATGAAATCTTAGTTAAGTCTTGCCAAAGGCGGAAGGAGCTGTTGCATCTCATCCTCACAGTAGTCCCAGAAAGAAGGTCTATGACTTCATTTTACGCTTGGGGAAATCGAGGCCTGCAAGCTAAGTCAGTTGCCCGAGCTGGCCTTGCAAATGACAGAGCCAGGATTCCAGCCGGCTTCCAAAGCCCGCCTCTCTTCCACAAGACTTCACTGCTCCTTCTCTGGCATTATACAGTGTAGGGACACTTTGGAAACTGAAGTGCGAAGTGAATTGAATAACTCAAGTAAAACCAGCAGAGCTATCCAGGCCCTGGGCAAGTGTCCTCCCATATCGTGGACAAGGGCCACATGACCCTGAATTGGGTAGCACTAAGACAGTATAGCATGTGCGTGAGGGAATGACTTTATCTACAAGAGGCAACACTGCTTTTCAGCCGAGCTGGTAGAAATGCTCTCACAAATGATAATCAAGAAAGTTTACTCTTGTGTTCTCTTTAGCTTCTTGCCCATCAAGATGGGACTGCTCATAATCGACTATCTGGGCATCTTTCATGTAATGGATGGCTTCACGGGCCAAAGGAAGAAACAATAAAGACCAACTCTAAGGCCGATGTCATCTGATACCCGACGTTACACAATGGCTGTTTCAATGAAGAAAAGTATTTTTGTCAAACAGTAGAATATATCTGGAGTCCACAAGTACCATTCTTACTCTGTTATCTGGACTAGAATTTTCAACCAATACTTTTAAAAGTAATGTCGCTATAACCTTTTATTGAGTTTTGTTTTTTGTTTTTTTCTCCCCAAAAATGAAGACCCAGTGTTGTCATTTCCATTAGCAACAGATGTGAGAGAGAGAAGCCTCTCTCGTGAGCTGCCCGGAGCTTGGTCACTGGCGCGGTGGCGCAAAGGAGCAGGTGGTGTGGGAGAGCCTGCTCTGGGGTGCCGGCTGAGGGTGAGGAGCATGCCCAGGTGCCCAGCTGGGATGCCCTCTCCAGAGGACACACCGTGCCGGGTTTCCCACCGCCTTGCTCTCAGCACCAGCCTTTTCGAACCTATAGCACCTAGTGTGGGCAAGGCCCACCTCCTGTGTCCCTTTCTCCAAAGCAGCTACACAAACGCTTCCTTCCGAGTGCCCTGGGTACTCAGACCAAGTGCCAGTCTGGCTCAAGGCCCGTGGGCGCCTCTCTGGGCATTCCCAGAGCGACCCACATAGGCAGCGATCCCAGACCCAACCTAAATAGGATCACTGTTTTTCCCAGATGAGAGCAAAGAACAGTTGTTTCTTACTATGAAAATGAAATTCTGCTGAGTTAGACTTACTGCTACCTATTAATCCAAAAGCATAATCAAGCAAATCAATTAATTTGAAGTGTTTAACTTAGTATTTCAAGTTGGGATGCAGATTGAGGTATTTTTCCACAGAATGGGCAAGTTTATGCATTTGTATTCATCAGTGCTGCCCTCACTTCGCATCTATTGTATTCTTACAGTTTAATCAACTGGCAAAGTGCTTTCATGCTTTGGAGATTAACTATAAAAGCAAGATTAAGGAAAATATGTTAATTATCATATCCCTGGAAGTCTTTCCCAAGCTGGTGGGGGCACCTGCCTTGCAAGAGAAACGGTGGCCTTTGTCCCTTGTCTTCTTGGGGGGATGAGAGTTACCTTGGGAGACCCCGTGAGAGTCAAAAGAATTAAGAGGTTGATTTTTACTTTTATTTCACAATATTAAAGGGGTACAAATGTTTTTGTTACATGAATACCTTGTATAATGTGAAATTTAAAAAAAAAGAGAACAAAAGCCAGACAAATAGAAGATGGATAAAAATGAAGAACTGGGGAATAGAAAAAACAAAACAAACAAAAAAGATTTGAGATTTTGAATATCTTGAGGGTAAGATGCCCTTAGAGGGGCAACAGTCTCAGGGGTGTGGGGTGTGGAACCCGCAGTGGACTGATTTACCTTGAGCGGCTCGCACAGCCCTGAAACCTGTCCTGTATTTCCTTCCCATTCAGAAAGCCTTTTGTAAAAAGTTGTGTTATGATAATAACCATTATTTATTGTGCCCGGCACCACACTAAGCACTTTACAGCATTATTTCGCTAAGCAGGAATATCACAGCATCACTCAAAGAATGACAGTTACTTGGTGTATGCCAAAGGATGAAGGCGTTTATTTCCCAGTGACGTCTCACTCAACTGTAAATGTGTACTGACGGGATCAAAAGGCCCTCTCAGACTAACCCACTGATGTTCCAAATCCTTGGTTAACAAGGTTCATTAAGAGAGAGGCACAATATTGCTCCTATATTACAATTCCAAGAGCGTATTTTCAGGAGCCTGCCTGTTTAGTTGAAGAATAAAGAAGAGCCTCTTGGGGGAATCCATAAAACAAAGGTCCGGGGGGGCAGTGGGCACCCCACGTCACAACAGCGCGAACGGCAGTTATTGCTAATTGGAGTGCATCCTGGCCAGACTTCACCAAAGGCCTGAAATTCAATTGTGGTTTTACACCACCCATAAAATTGTCTAAACAAATTCAGATTTACTTGAGGCGCTTCTATGAGAAGAGACCACATGTAAATTAGAGGATTCGAGAAGGCAATAAATAACAAGGTGATTTAAAGCCCCTGAGGAACGAGTGCTCTCAGCATGTGTTTTATACCAGTTTCTATCTGAAATTGAATCCTAATGAAGCCCAACACCTAAGCGAGCCTGCGGAAGTAGAGGGACTGCCGGACCAGGGCTGTGCCCCAAGGCAGGGACTCTGCCCTCCAGGACACCTCTGCCAGCATCCTGGACTCACGGTGCTGCTCAAAAACTGAGAAGAAGGAGTTCTGAGCATGTGTTATGTGAGTTAGACTACAACTTGCCAGTAAACATATTTTGTAATTTTTCTTTTTTTTTTTTTAAAAAAAAAAAAAAAGGAGTTTGGCTTGGTAAAAACATGTGGCCACACATTTTTTTTTTTTTTTTTTGGTACAGTTTTGCATTGTGATTCTGCCTCAGTCAGTTCGGGCTGCTATAACAAAATACCACAAACTGGGTGGTTTAAACAACAGAATTTATTTCTCACAGTTCTGGAAGCTGGAAATCCAAGATCAAGGTGCCAACTGATTCATTTCTGGGGGGGACTCTTCCTGGCTCATGGATAACTGACTTCTCAATGTGTCCTTCTGTGGCCTTTCCTCAGGGTGTGCGGAGAGAAAGATCCCTCTCCATCTTCTTCTAAGGACACCAATCCTATCATGAAGGCTCCACTCTTTTGATCTCATCTCACCCTAACTACCTGAGGTTAGGGCCTCAGCATATGGGCTTGAGGAGGATACGAACATTCACTCCATAGCAGATGCCAAGATAGGAAAGGACACCCAGGCCACACGTGACCTGCACACTCTTTAGAGTCCTCATACTGAGATGCTCACAGTCTATCAAATGAAATCATTTAGAATCTTGGAGGTAGAGCAAATTGGAGATCCTTGAATAACTAATTCCAACCTCTGAGAGTCAGCACTTGAGAAAATTATGACTGAAAATTTGGCCACCAGTGTAGCCTGGTGGAATGTGGCAGTATAGATACTCTCAACATGTGCAGACTAGTGACCTGTCCTGGATTTATCCCAGCGTCCCCAGCTCACAGCCCTTCCAGGCTACAGAACAATCTCCCTTTGCTGTCAGTGAACAAACCACGCCTGGGCCATGGAGGAGGCCTCTGGTCTGCATTGTTTTTCTTTCCCCCATGACCTTGCTACCATATTGGAAACCAAAGGAATAACAGGTGCACCAGCCATTGGAGCTCACCCCTTGGGGACGCTGCTTGTGAGGGTGCAAGTGCAGAAGGCTCTGTCACATGTGCCGGATGGCATCTGCACACCTGGGTGTCCTCAGCGTGCGTCAGCACCACCTGAGCAGTGAGGGGAGCGAGGATTGGGGCAGCTCATCCCAGTGCCATCAGCGAGTGCTTTATTGGCGCACCTCGTATCTGTGTTTGCCACTGGATTTTACAAAGGCTAGAAGTGAAATGCACTGGCCCTCCCCAGGAAGCCGATGGGCCGTCAACCCCTTCTGTGTGACTGTTTGCTTCCTTCTTCCCTGGCCCGTGGTGGCCTTTCAGATCTTCCTTCCAAAGCCCACGTAACACCAGCACCTGTTTTTTAGGAATGTCATTCTCTCCTACTTCTCCAAGAATATCGAAGCTGAAAAATATTAACTCCCCCAGCTCCCTAGACTGGTATCTTCAAAGGACTCGATTTCTACCTTCGCCTCCTCTCTCTTCCTCAGCCTCCGGGGAAGCAGTGTGGCCGCTCAGGCTGACCCTGCAGCCGGCGCCCTCCAGGGCTTCACCAGAGCTTCCCTCCCTCATGTCTGAACCTCTCCACCCAGATCTGCTCCCCTGAACCCCATAAACACACTAGAGATTATGTGAAACTTAAAACTGAATAGACTTTATGGAAACCTCCATCCCACATCTCCTCTCCCTCCGTTAGTAACACCACTTAAAATGCAGCCCAGGTAATCGGTCCACCTCTTCGGCTCATGTTGGTGCCTAAGCCATCCAGCTTCCATGGCCACCACATTGCAGTGATTTCTGTGAAAAGATCCCCAGGGATTTTATCCTCGTTACATTTTACTTCTCAGGACCAACATTATTCATCTCTTAGCCCTTGGTCCTGGTGACACCTCTGTCTACTGGCCTCTTCCTCCTTGAATTGTCCATGTTCTTCAGGTTCTATCCTTGGATTTCTCTGTGGATTCTTCTGGGGGCTCTTGCCCCTGCCCGTTGCTCCTCCACACTGTCCAAGCCAGAGACCCAGGTGTATGGCTCTACTTTTACTTTTACTTTATCTCCCACCTCCCTGTCCAGTTAATATCCAATCCAGATGGCTTGGCCTCCCGATCTCACTAGCCTGTTTCCCTCACTGCGGTTCCCATATTCAGGCTCTTGCCATCAGTAGTTTCCCGGCTGGTCTTTCTGCATCAAGGCTGCTCCCTCTATTAGGATTATGCTCATCTGGAGTAACTGAAAACCCCAAGGTGACAAGAGCTTGAAGAAAGTAGAAGTGTGCTTCTCTTTGATGTTTAACAAGTCTTGGGGTCACTGTTGAGGGGTGGTAGGTGCTCCACAGTTTCAGGGACCCAAGCTCCTGTGCATGTGCTCAGCTATGCAAGTTCACAAGCTGAGCATCATTGATGAGTGTGGTCTACGGTGACCGCTGAAACCTCGGCCATATGTTCACGTTCCAGCCTACGGGAATCCAGAAGGCAGAAAGCACCCCCATGCCCTTCTAGGGCAATCCATGGACATTGCACACCCCACAAACACCACATCCTACTGGTCAGAATTAGCCACTTGACTGCATCTGCAAAGGATGCTAAGAAGTATGGCCTTTATTTTGTACTGCCATGGCCAGCTAAGGGTCAGGGCTTCTATTACTGTGGGAAAAGGTAAGTACAGATATTGGGTGTGAACACACTTTTCTGCTGCCGTGTTGGCAACCCTTGATGGAAGATACTGGAAGAAGGCTGAGGACCACAGTCTTACTTGCCCTGAGGCCACTTCCAAGGGCTTCCCATCAGGCACAGAGGGTGAGGGTGTTGGCTGTTTCAACCCTCCAAGGCTCCAAATCACCACCCCCTTAGTCAACTGAGCTTGCAGGTAGAGGGAGCAGCTTCCTTTACACCTCTGCTTGCACAGCGTTCTCCAGCCTGAGCTCTCCTCTGTGAGACTCTGCTTAAAGCCGCAGAACACCCAAGCCACAGCAAAATTCTGAATTTGTCTTATCTTTTCCCCTCATGCTACAATCGTACTCAGCAGGTAATACATCTTCCAAGGTA